CTTCTACACCGACTACTTGAGGTTGTCTTAAAATAATCTCTAATTACCATAACAAATATATTTCGAGAATGAGCACTTGTGAGGAATATAAACTTTAGCAAATAGAAATAGTGTTTATCATCGGTTTTGTCTTAAAAATGTTCTTTTGTGGCATAAAGCTAAATGCTTATATCGTTTATCTACTGATGCGCAGAAATGCATTGACACGTACTTCATGTGAATAGCTCTAATTGGCCTATGCGATTATATTTAAAATGTAAGATGTATACAGTTGTCATTTGTTCTGTTTTTTAGCTAATTTTGACCAACCTTGTTTACCCCCAGTCACTTATCTATCGTAAATAATTCCTCTGATGGTGGGATGGAAAATATTTGGTTGTGTATCTACCGAGGTGTTTAGCATCCTCATCCAACAGGAATTTCTTTGGCCTGGTAATTATAGAACCTGACACAGAAAAGTGACAGTATGTGTTAGGTGGTGCAGAGCTTTTTGTTGACAGTCGCAATTATTGGCGTGATAAAACAAAATATGGACAAACAAGGTTATTACTCTGTTTAGTAGCAAAACAAATTTGCAAACCAAATTGTTAGTGCAGTTGCTTCTTTTTGTCCAGATTTATCATATGTGCCTTCTCCTTATTTAAATTGCGATATGACCACATTTTCTGGTCCCTGAGTGGATCATTTGAGATGATTTTTTTGCAAATGTGCTTACTCTTATCTAGCAAAAACAAATTTTTTTCACTTGGCATACTTCAGCTTATCCTTTTTGCCAGTAAGATTATTTTAACTGCTCGGTCAGGGTAGAAGGGCATATTTGGTTGTCTGCCTAATATACCCTTTGTCTAGTTTAAACGTCTCAAACGTTTCAAAGACTAACTCCTCTGCAAGCCGGAGTTTTATCAATCTACAGTTTTTGCTAGGAACCGTGCAATTTTCATAACTTTGTAAAATTTTGACCATAACTTGAATACCAGTGTGAGTGCATTAAGGAAAACTTTGAAATAATAATGAAAAGCATTGGGCATATTTAAAACATAAAAAAGTGTAAGTAGTATTAAGTGTTTGTAAAAAAATTAAAGTTTTCCCGATAATCCCAGAGTTCCCGAGATGTAAAAAATAGCTACAAAATAGAAAAATAAACTTTAATATTTTATTTATCTTTCACATTTACGTAACCACTTTCTTTATATAAAAACAACTTTTCTTTAGTCCATTTTTGCACAGATTACTATTAGTGGATAGCTATGTATTGAACATAGTCGAGTGGAGTCTGGCATAATTTACTTCGTTTTCAGTGTCTTCATTGATAAACTGCGTTTCTGTTCGACGTTTATATCAAAATTTTTAAGTAGGATATATAAGGAGCATTTACCGAAAGAAAGTGTTTTTGGATATTAGTACTTATGACGATGGTCATGTGGATCATGTTAACAAGTGCCTCAAAAAAGCAAACCACAGTGTAACGTGTACAGAACGTCCGCAAGATAAGTCCACAATTGTTTATTCGAAGATTAATAACAAACATTCTCTAATAGGTAATATCTTTAAAAATTGCTTTGGTTAGATGTTCGGCTGACGAATATCTGTGTATATTAACTTTTTCCAAGGTTATGGCCCAATGAAATCAGAAACTTTCAAAAATTTCTTTAATTTACCTGAAGATAAGCGATTCGATTTGACTGGAGATGAAATAACTTACTTTTCCCTTTATAATGGATTATTCTCTGCATAAGTGGATTAATTCCACAATCCATTATAAGCTTTCGAATTCAAAAAAACAAGCCACATATTTGGCCATTTTACGAAGTACATATTATTCTTCTATTTGTTCTGTTTCTAAATGACGCATAAGCGGAACGTATTGTTTACAAAAGGTATATTTCTACATGACTTATATTCAATAAGCCTTCTTTACATTGCCTTCTCGGTAACATATTCTGGCACATTGCTGAATGGCACTGTGAGTGGTGTGGTTTAATACAAATGCGATGAACTTTTATGTTACTGCACTTTGTGCGACAAAACTTCAGAGATTAAATGAACATAATTTTTAAGATATAAATCTCATATATCTCTGCAAATAAATGCGATACCTTCAACTTGGCTTCACTTGAATCTGAACAATTTTGGACATAATTTTCCTTTCTGGAAGGGATATCTTCTATAAATATTTTACTAATTTTGGAGTTCTTACATAGTATAATCAACATTAATAAGCAATTTGTTTCTGTTTTTCGTGAATGCATAGGACATTCGTTCCATATGAGGCTACTCCAAATTTCACCAAAATTGATGGTCATTTCTCTTAATAAACCTAACTAAAATGGTGATTTTCCTAACTAAAAGGCT